ATATATATATATATATATATATATATATATATATATATACACACACACACACACACACACACACACACACACACACCCCTTGAGTTTTGCTTTTTAGCTGGAAGCTTATTTACTTTTGACTATTTCCAACTAATGCATATTTTGTTTGCTTTTTTAATTTTTTTTATTTTGTTTCTGGTCAGCCTTGAAATGTTACATTTGATTTTCTCCTGGTTTGGCTGCTTTGGTAGATTTATCTGAATTAATTATTTATCTTCTCTAATACTTTTTTTTAGTTATTTCAAGTAATATAATCCCCTAATCTGATACGACTAAATGGATCCAAACTTTCTTACATACATTGAACTCAATCCAAACTGCGAACTTGAATATCTTATGTAATCTGATTTTTTTCTTACTATCATACATCGTGAGTAGAGAAGTATAGAGATGCTTTTTTAGCTGTGCATGTTTATGCAATATGCTTAATGAAATCAATATGTGGTAGAAAGGCAAGGTAGAAACAAGAAACAAGGCTGTCGATCATTTTAGAGGTCATGCATATAGTGTAGTCCTTCAAGTTTCGTTCTGTCAACTAGGAGATGGACTATTACTGATGGGCAGTGAAAATTTGATAACTAGTGCAGGTCAATCACATATCTGCAGTCATTATCCTGTTTAAAAATTTCATATAAACTTTTTCAGACAATTGATTCTCTGAACTTTTTCTGTGACATCAGGTAAAAGCGGATAAATATTCTGCTATGTCATTCCTTGACGGACATATCAGCTCTCCAACAACACCGGTTCTCGATCAGGAGGCTGCTAATCCTTTGGTAAGCTTTAGCTTCATCCAAGTAATGAGTCTGCCAAAAACCACCTCACCATTGTGGTTCAACTTTTGGGAGATAATGATCTCCTCCCCATTCGCATATGTTTATCACATTGCAATAGTGAAACAGTGATTGGGTTGTTTCATCAAACCTTGAATGCTCTCCTGTCCATCTTCTAAACTTTGAATTAGCATGCTTTCAATCATTTAGATTATATTTCTGCATGTGTTTGATCCCCTCCTAAACTCCCAGGAATATAGCTCCGGAGATCCTTTGGCTTCTGAATGCGGTAGTCCGGATGAAATGTTTCTCAAGGATTTAAATCCTTGTTTGACTCCATGCTTCTCAAAAACCAAGTCCCAGGTAACAACCATGGCTTAAAAGTTCGATGTGATCTTATATTCCTCTTTACAATCAAGTCTTGCTTGGCTTCTGACCTGTGACTTCCTTCTTGCCAGGAAAACAATGAATTGGTTTATGGCTCGCCAAACCAAGACAGATTATTTCAACTTAAACCACGATCGAGCCCGAGTATGTTATGTGGTTCGCATGGTGGAAAATTGTCGAGGAGTTCAGAACATCGTCACAGGCCCAGCTTAGGCAGCAACACTGCACAAAAGGTTTACAAGTCAGATGAGAACAAGCATCCCACTGTTAAACCAAGATACCAAACTCATCTCTGAATTGGATGGTTATCTCCCACTCTCTTGGGTAATTTTTCTCAGGACTTGTACTTATGAGTTTGATGCAATGCTGTTGTACTACTTGTGTATGTTCGTCTTGACTATAACTCAAATTACTGTACTCGTTTTGCTCATCATGAGATTATACTGTTCGGAAGGTGGAGTGTGACAGGAATCAGATCTGCTCCAAACTAATTCATATGTGATAGCAGAATGATGGAATCATCGATAGTCACCTCACACTAAAGCTTTTCCTGTAGATCCGAACTGATCCATATGTGCCAGCAAATGCTTGCGAGTTTGAGTTTGATTGCGATCAGAATTAAATACCATTTAGTGTCTTGTATATGTGGTCATCACTTAGAATATTACTGTTACTTGTCTCTCTTTTCTTCCAGGATTCTGCAGTGCCAAATGCTGAGGATCATAATTACGTAAAGAAATGACATAGCCAGATACACCCAGAAGTCTAAGATTTTAGATTCTCTGCAAGGCAAGAATGCAGTCCGATCCAGATGCAAAAAAACAAAAAAAAAAAGAAGAATATTTGCATCGTTAGGTAAATCTTGAAGCACATTATTTGCTGGATCATGATTGCAAAATATTAGTGCATGTGCGTTAAAGTAAACTCTGTGCATTGCGTGTATTATATGGTAGAGTGCAATAATGTATTGTTGGCAGACGTAGCCAAATAAACTTTGCATGGATCATCATATGAAAGCCGATCTGCATTGGTATCTTAGCTTAGGGTTTAATACCACCAGCTCCTCACTCTCTCCCTCTTCCCTTCTCTACCCTGTACTCCATGTTCTCCTTGTTGCCACCGAGAGTCATGGCGTGTTACTGCTCGCCGTTCTGCACTCTCCTCTTGGTGGCCATCTTTCTATTCGCATCGCCATGGATTCATCTTCCTGCTGCATCGACATCCCATGAAGCCTCCTCGGCCGGTTCCCCTGAAAGTCCAATTGCTGGTTCTCATCCTCCTCCGCAGCCACCACCACCACTTGGGGGGGAGATCGATCCACGGTATGGCGTCCAGAAGCGGCTCGTCCCGACGGGGCCGAACCCTCTCCACAACTGAAAAAGCTTAACCAAATCTTTAGACCATTCCGTCCTCCATTGTTCTTTCTTTCCTCCTCCTGTAGTATATGTCGTTTTCCTCATGCTTTCTTGCATATTTGATCCGAAAAGATTACTAGTTTTTCCTACCACATATACTACATACGTGTACATTCAAATATATTACTCCCATGCAAAGAAGTAACAACGGAAGATGTTGGCTTCATATTTGACTGTTCTTTATGTTTGTTCATATAAATATAAATATAAATATATAGATTAGGTATGATATGTTTCCTTAACAGGGACGTCGAGCCATTTCATGTAGGTATATGTGTCTTACTTACCCTTGTTCGATTTTGAATCATCTACCTTCGAAGCAAAGTTGGCATTGGATAACCTTGAACGGCACTTTACCATCACAATTGCTGCAACCTTCAAAATGTAATGTTCTTGACGTTAAGATCGCACGATCGAGGCATGGAACCCGGCGCAACAGGCGTCGTCAACGGTGACAAGGTTTTCGATGGAACGATCATTATCGAAGCCCTACTCTCTTCCCGTTCCGACTCGATCACAACAGATTCAAGGTCGGAGCAGCGATCCAATCTGATGTCCTATTCCTATTCCTACGTTGGCGGTAATGGCCAAGGTTAATGATGAGCACGCAGGCCTCGCGGACGCACGGCCGGCATGAGGACGGCATCGACGAGATGGGTCAGGAGGACCCATTTATAAAACTTTTCTTTTTTATTATTATTTTAATTGAAAGGGCGATTTCTTTAAAAGAGAGATCAGTCGATCGCTTCCACTCTTCTCTCAAAACCCTAATACGAACCCTCACCCCCGAGCTTTATCACAATCTGCTTCCCCGCTCTTCTCCTCCTCCTCCTCCTTTCTCTGGTCCGATGGCGGCGATGCTGGTACGACATCTTTCTTTCTCGTGGTTTGTTCGTGTTCTGCGCTTAACCATTAACTATTTGGATCTTTTGGTGCGATGGTTGCAGCAACCCCAGATCATTCTTCTCAAGGAGGGCACGGACACCTCGCAGGGGAAGGCGCAGGTGGTGAGCAACATCAATGCCTGCACGGCCGTAGCCGACGCCGTCCGCACGACGCTGGGCCCCCGGGGAATGGACAAGCTCATCCACGACGAAAAGGGCAGCACCACCATCTCCAATGACGGCGCCACCATCATGAAGCTGCTTGACATCGTTCATCCTGCCGCCAAGATTCTTGTTGACATTGCTAAGTCACAGGACTCCGAGGTAACTCATCGGTGACCGGATCAGCTGTAGCGACTAAGAAACATGAAAAAGGTGTCAACTTTGGGGGGGTTTCCATGATAAAGATTGGAACTCCGGTAGCTTTGCCATAAAAGAAGGTCTTAGATTTTAAATTGATGGGGATTGATTACAATTACAGGACACATAATCTCTACTGTGTAATCGTTAAATGAAATGGTAAGCAGTTAATTGGAAAGTGTGGTGGTGGATTGTCATGTAGGTCAGGGGCTTAGGGCCCAGAGGCATTGTTATTGGAAACATTTCAAGTTGCAACTATAAGGCATTATATATCTTTTTTTCATAACAGAAAAATAATCTTAAATTCCTTGCTATGTGCATGCTCTTGCTTTTATGTTAACTGAACTTTTGCCTTTTTCTTTTCCAACAAACGACAACAACAATGCTGTATCATACATTTATTTTTCCAACTTCAGGCATTTCTTTCCCGGTATCTGTTGCAAACTAAATCATCTTGTTCTATCAAGATTTCCCATTAGTGTGGATTGTTTTGGCTTTTGTTGGGTTAGATTATTTAACTTGTAACTCAATGCTTGCAGCTGTTCTTTTATCTTGATCTGAGGATAGGTTTTAGGAGTTAGCCATTTTAAATGGCAGTAGGGGCTTAATTTTCACATTTCTATCTCGTGCAGGTTGGTGATGGAACCACCACTGTAGTGCTTCTTGCTGGTGAGTTCTTAAAGGAGGCAAAACCTTTCATTGAAGATGGGGTCCACCCTCAGAATCTTATTCGAAGTTACCGAACTGCATCCTTTTTGGTGAGTATGTCACCTTTCTTTTATGATTGGTTGTGAACCTTATGAACTAAAATTTAGGTGACATATTTTACAGGCCATTAACAAAATCAAAGAAATTGCTGTAAGCATAGAGGGGAAAAGTCTTGAAGAAAAGAAATCCTTGTTGGCAAAATGTGCTGCCACAACACTCTCATCAAAGCTAATTGGTGGTGAGAAGGAATTCTTTGCATCCATGGTTGTGGATGCTGTCCTTGCTATTGGCAATGATGATAGGCTTAATTTGATTGGGATAAAAAAGGTCATTATCGTCTCCTGAAATGGTTTTCGGGTTCAGTAGTTTGAATTCTCTTTGGAAGTTATTAAATATTCTATGATATCACAGTTCTTGTTATTTCTTTGCTGCATTTCTTATTGTCATTGCCAAAGATTGCAATACTTTGCCTTATTGTTCTCACCGCGCCTAATTTTATGTCACTTATATCGGGTTGTCATTTATTCTTGTACAAGTTTCTTGGATGCTATAAACTAAAAACTATCTAGAGTTGTTTCATGAGATTATTGTCGTCAAGTAATCTCATAATGTTTTAGCCAATTGCACCACCTGGATGATTTAAGATGTTGAATCTTCTATTGTGGTTTTGGATTATTTTTGTCTTCTGCCATACTGTAATGGCATAGAAAAAGGTAAAGCACAGCGCACAAGTATCCTGCTAACATGAGATTTGGAAAGTGTTAATATATGCATTGTGATTCCCTACAAGTAGAGATCATATTGCAGCACTCAAACCCTGATCACTTTAGGTTGCAAAGAAGCAACCTTATAGTGCCTCCAAGGTTTATCCTCTTGTCATTAATACAGTTATATGCTTACTAAAAATCTTCTAACAAAGATTTTGATCAGGTCTGAGATAATTGTATAATTTGAGTATAGGATCATAATATTTTTTAAATTAAGAAGTATAATGTTATTATTGAAGAATCAATTCATGTTCAAGATAATTGCATAATTGCTGGATAGGACCAGATTTATTTTTTATATAACATGACAGTTTTTCTATAATATATTTCCTGATGTCGTCCAACTTTATCAGTTCTTTCCATACTGTTGGAACTTCTGTCATCGATACAGGATTTTAATCTTTGGGCATGTCTATGCACCAGTCCTATAGAATGACATGACATGAATATTCATTCTGTTGTAGGATTTGTTTCTTCTTTTGGAATTCATCCCTAAGATATGACATTACGAGTAGTTTTCACTTGATAGTAAAGGTTCAATTTTGAATGCAACTGTTTATCGTGTTTGAGATACTATCTTTCACCTTATTTAATTTGTTAATGTAAGGAGGCAATGATGTTATGTAAGATTTAATTTTCGGGTTGTAAGAGAAGAATCAAATATTTAATTAGGTTAGATAGACAAAATATTCCGATAAATAGAAGTTTTAGGTGTCTTCAATTTGTTATTCAACATGATAGAGAAGTCGATGGAGATATTGTGTGGTTAAGTGCAGAGGAATGTCAGGATTTTTTGTGTGATCACTGGGTGATCTTTAGATTAAAAGAAAATTATTATAAGACAGTCGTTGGGCAAGTCACGCTTATGGATTTTTGGTGTTGGGTGGATAAAAAAGCAATATGTATAAAATGGGTGTCACTGAGATGGGAATGTTAAATTGGATATATAAAGTTATGAAAAAGATAAAAAAATATTTATATTTGTGAATTATTAGCCATATCGCTAACAGAGGATGAAGAGAATAATTAACTAGATGATGTGAACATGTTTTGATGAGACTTATAGATATTGTGGTTAGACAAAATGAGACAATTAATATTAATGATTTGAGGAGTGGTAAAGGAAGATTTAATAAGACTTTAGTAAATAGAGATTTGAATGTTCTTAATATATTTATGGATGTTGCCTTGTAGATAACACAATAGCGGAAAAAGATCCATATAGTCGATCCCAAATAATTGAAATATTACACTTTGTTGATGTAGGTAATGATGAACTCTTTTTGAGCATTGGATTCCTTGAGATTGTTCTACCATGAGAACTTTGATTGTTTTGTTGTTGTTGTTTTTAAGTATATTTTACTTGGAGTTGGAGTTCTAGTTAAAACTAAGGTCTGCAATTTCGTACCGTACCGGAGTTTCGACGTTTGCTCGATACGGTACGAAATTGTATACTGAGCAGTATACCGCTCGGTTTGTGTGTGTGTATATATATATATATATATATATATATAATTTTATTATTATTTTTTGTTCCGTCCGGTAGTGGATGGTTCGTATACCGAAATGTCGTCGGACCGGTACGTATCGTCTGTATCGGGTTGTATCATTCGATATTACCTACCTTTAAAAGCAAGGAAGGCAATACCGAATGATACCGCCCGGTACGGGCGGTACATACCTGTCCGACGGCATACCGATACACGGACCGTCCGTTACCGGGCTGAACGAAAAATAATAATAATAAATAAATATATATATATATTGAACTGTATACCGTTCGGTATACAATTTCGTACCGCACCGAGCGAACGTCGAAACTCCGGTACGGTACGAAATTGCAGACCTTGGTTAAAAGTATCTACATGATCTATATATATTCTGGAAAGCAACTCCAATAGGTTGCTTATAAGTAGAGTTAATTATATATTTAGAATAAAGATTCCAAATTCCAAATACTTGACTCGCTTTGTATAGGTCCCTGGGGGTAACATGAGAGATTCATTTCTTGTTAATGGTGTTGCTTTCAAGAAGACATTCTCTTATGCTGGTTTTGAGCAGCAGCCAAAGAAATTTTTAAATCCGAAGATCCTTTTGTTGAATATCGAACTAGAATTGAAGTCGGAGAAAGAAAATGCAGAAATCAGGTAGACTTTCTCCCAATTATATTGTATGTTGATATGTAGAAAGTTTTCTTTTAATCTTTTTGTCCCATTCTTCTGTAGATTATCCGACCCTTTACAATATCAATCAATTGTTGATGCCGAATGGAACATTATCTATGACAAATTAGATAAGTGTGTTAAAAGTGGAGCAAAAATTGTCCTCTCCCGATTGGCCATTGGTGACCTTGCAACTCAGGTATCTTTGATCTGATGTTATTTAACCCATTTTATATTGCACCTGATGTGTTGGCCTTTGTGCAGTATTTTGCAGATAGAGATATTTTCTGTGCTGGTCGTGTGACGGAGGAAGATTTACTACGTGTAGCTGCTGCAACTGGTGGAACTGTCCAGACCTCTGTCAACAATGTTATAGATGAGGTCTCAGTTATGCTTACTTCTTTTTAATTATTAATGCTTGATTTATGAAGCTACATATATGCTATTATGTTTTTAACTTTTGGATTGTTGAAATGTTTGGTTTTGATATAATGCCTTATATCTCATGAATTTTATATTCTGGTTTGTTAAAAGGTTCTTGGATCCTGTGAAGTGTTTGAGGAAAGACAAGTAGGCAACGAAAGGTTTAACATTTTTAATGGATGTCCTTCTGGTCAGACGGCAACCATTGTTCTCCGAGGTGGTGCAGATCAGGTTTGTTTCTCAAAATGGTTAAGTTTGGTAAAGTTAGCTTTAACATCATGCTTTGCGCTATATTACCATAGTCATTAACATTTTTAGCTCTCCCTTGCAGTTCATTGATGAAGCTGAAAGGAGCCTTCATGATGCCATTATGATAGTGAGGAGAGCTTTAAAGAACTCCACCATTGTGCCTGGTGGTGGTGCTATTGATGTAACTACCTGTAACAAACCATTGTCATGTCCTAGCTTTCCTCTTTTGGAGTATAATCATTTTACTGCCTTTGGCAGATGGAGCTAAGCCGATATTTGAGACTGCATGCACGCACAATAGCTGGAAAGTCACAGCTATTTATCAATTCATATGCCAAAGCTCTTGAGGTAGGCAACCATGAGTTCATACGTTATAATCTTCTCTGTGAGTATATTAATTGTTGTATCCGTTCAGCATGTGCATACAAGAGTTGTCAAATCACCATCCACTTGTACCGTTTCTTTCTTCTATTTTTTATGCGGAACTCTTTAACATTTTATTTCTTCTTCTGGAACTCCTCCATATACCTTATGAGAGTTATCTTTCTGTGTCGAACCTTAAAGGCTCGATGGTTTCATCAAGTTTGATCACAGCTTTTTCTATTTTCTATATGCAGGTAATTCCACGGCAACTTTGTGACAATGCTGGATTTGATTCAACTGATGTACTTAACAAACTCAGACAGAAGCATGCATCTGGTTAGCTTCTTTCTTTCAGTAACTGAGAGCTTTGGGAGGTTTGCTTCTAGTAACGCATACTTGAATTTATGCCTATAACAGGCGAAGGTGCAAATTTTGGTGTGGAAATCAATACTGGTGGAATTGCTGATTCTTTTGCTAACTTTGTATGGGAGCCTGCAGTTGTCAAGGTAATATTACTTATTTCTTCGCCAATTATTAAAATTAATTTGCTGATTATTGATGTTAATAGTATTTATAAACATAAATTGCAGATCAATGCTATAAATGCTGCAACTGAAGCTGCTTGTCTCATCTTAAGTGTGGATGAAACTGTGAAAAACCCAAAGGTAACGTATTGAATATTAAAAAATAGAGCTTTTTAACACATCAGCAATATCATGCTTAATCAGTATTCAGCATTTGCCTGCTTTGCCATTATCGAGAAGATTTCATGGTGCAATTTCTGCCTTTTTTTTTGTGTGTTTTCAGGTGTTGAATCTTCCCAGAAATTTCATAAACTTAAATATATATTTGTTTCCACAAGGAAAATCTGAATGGGGACATAATTATCAAAACTGAATCAGTTATTGATCCGGCCAAGCCTCATACACTGGGTCATTGGTTGGACTAGTGGATTAACAAAATGATGTTATCATAACTAGAACTTCAAATTTCTTTCTTTTTTCCTCTTTTCCTTTTCTTCTTTCTTCTCTCTTACACACCTTACCACTTCTCCTCATCCTTGCATTTTCTTCTCCCTTTTACCTTTGCTCCTATCTTTTCTCCTTTTATTTCTTCCTGATGCCTTTTGTTTTTCTCCGCCACTGCGTCCTTTCTGTTTCCTTGTTTTTCTTATTCTATCCTTCTTGTCATAATCTCTCTTATACCTCTTTGCTTCCGTCCTCTCTTTTCTCCTTCCTGCTCTTCTCCTCCTCCTTTCTTTCTCCTGTTATTTCCTATTTCCTCTTCTCATCCTTTCTCTCTCTTCTAGTCCTCTTATTCTCCTTGTTCATGACTGCTGAATGGGGTGAATCTCTAATGTTTTCGCTGCAATGCTGATGCATCTACTTGTTAGCCATAGACTGAATTTTAATGTGGGTCAAGAACTCAGTGAGATCTCAATTTTATTAATATTGCCAAGATTTTTAAAATTTCAACGGAAGTATTAAGTTACTGAGAAGCTTTCCATTTGCTTCAGGCAGCCTGTATTTATAATATAATACCTCCAACCATAGCAAGCTTGTTGGCAGGAAAGCATCCATTCTCACCTCAGATAATTGCTGCTTTTGATAGTGCTCGAGCTATGTCGACTTGTCTATTGATATACACTGGAGTAGATGGCCAGAAATAACAAAGATGTTCTAGATTTAGTATCAATTTTTTATTTCTTACTCTATTTTTCTTGTTCGTGTTTATGGAACTTGTGCTTCGTTTCTCTTGTTGGTATTGCCATAGAGCCTAAATCTATCAAGTCGTATGTACTCCCTGTTGCATGTTTAGTTTAAGTTCTCTGGCCAACCTCATTGAACTGGTCTTCTGCAAACTTAAATCTTGGTGCATTGTGTTAAATATTTTACAGTAGATTGAATGTATTTTTTTTTATGATTATTTTCTCATCCGTTTGAACTGCGATAAGCAGTCGGAGAGCGCACAAGGTGAAGCTGCTGCAAATGCTATGGCTGGTCGTGGTGGACCAGCTTTCCGAGGTCGGGGTGGAAGAGGCATGCGGAGACGGTGAATTCCTGACTAATATATGTTATAGCTTGTTTGAGATTCCAAGTTTCAGGGAGCTTTTTTTCTTTTCCTTTTTCCTTTTCTTTCTTGACTTCACAATCCACATTAACTCTCAGCATCATTCATCAGAGTTTCGGGTTGCTTCCCCGTTGTTGACCGAAAACCTAGTCTTGGTTTTGTTGCTGTGATGTGGTGTCAGTTTATTTCTTGGCCATGTTGCAGTACAGTTTCTTGATTTAAGGTTTCTACACAACATTTATAAGTAGTTCTGCTCTTGGCATCCTCTTTGTTCCACATGTGCTCAGTTGTGTCTCTCCATGGATGGTGTCATTAGAGTAACCATTGTTTTTTGCTGGTGTACTCAATCTTAGATATTGCTTGTTCACAGTGCACAATAAATCACAAAACAATCAACTCATCATCATTCATCGTGCCACTCCTTAACATTGGGCCATCAATGCTATCAGAAACGAATACTTCTCCGAACCCAAAGGAAAGAACGGTGGTTACACGAGAATCTGCACCTCTCTCTATAGGTTTCAACCGTGTCATCTTCTGTAGGTCACAACACAACTAGAACAAGAAGAAGGCGGCAACTTCACCGGCATCAAAAGAGCTCTCTCCAACGACTCCTCGGGATCGTCGAAGTAAATCGCAGGAATCTCAATGTAAGGAAGCAACATCGACACGCAATGGAACTGTTCCAAACAGGACCGCAAGGTTCAGATAGATGCACCCCCTGACGGACGTACTTGGAATCACCATTACTGTGGGAAAGGACAAGGTGGTGGTGGTGGTTACCTTGTTTTGCTTGTATTTCTCGCTGACAGCCACCAAAGACGCTGCTCTCCTCTGCGACTGCAGGTCGTGTATGGCACGGACGCAGTCCTTCAGGTCACTCGCTTTGTACTCGGTCCACTGTTCCAGTTTCCTGTTCTGCAGAGCAGAGGAAAGGAAAGGTATAAGAGCAAAAGCTGCGATCAAAGATCCGATCCAGCGTAGCAGAATCATACATACCCATGGATGACTCTTTGGATTCAATGTGAACCTCGCAACGAATACAGATGAAGCAGCGATCACCGACGGCAAGAACTGCACGCAGCCATAGTCTACCAAGCTCAACTCCGCAAGGTAGCTCGCCAGAAACTCCAGTTGCGCACCCCAGTGCTGCATCGAGTTGACAATAGCACGCACGAAGCTAAAGATCAAATCGGAAGCAGAATGCATGCGAAGAGAATGAACACTCACTTTGCCATCTTCTTGACCTGCCCCTGTGAATCGCCTACGAGAACAACGATTAGCAGCTCAATCAAACCACAAAGAGGATGCAACCATCGATGGACGGAGAAGACGAAATAATACCATACGAAGGTGTCGATGGTGGGACCACCCATAGCAAACTCGAGACACTCGAGGATGTCGCTCTCCATCTTCACGATCTGCACCAACCAAGGCAGAGAGAAGTGTGTGTTCATCAAAAAGCCCCGGTGGAAGAAGAGATGAACCAAAAGGTACCTCTTGCTTCGTGTAAGTGTTGTCCGTAATATAACAGAATTCTTCGGCACTCGGACGGCAAATCTCTTGATAATTCCTGCATCGACAGAAGGCCATCCCCACAGAAATGATCATTCGAGGAGAAAAGGAATCGTCTTGACCCAAAGCAAGCACATCGGAACGTACGCAGCGACGAGCATGGAGGCAACGCCGAGGAGCTGCAGCCGCTCCCTGCCGATCGCATTGAAGGAAAGGAACCGGTCGATGTATGAGACGGCGAGGTAAAGCGTATCGGAGACAAGGCGGTATTCCTCAGCCACCTGCACCAGCCAATCCACCAGAACCCCCCTCATGCCCGCCGTCACTCTCCTCTGAACAGCATCCATGTAGTTGGGCGACGGCCTCCGCTTCGCCTCCACCTACATCCACAAAAGCAAGACTCCGATGGAGACGCGTTCCGGCGAAAAAGCCACGATCTTTATCCAAGAACCAACCTCCAATGATCTGAGGTACCGATACATAGGTGACGCGTGCGTTGCGCACATCTGCGGGTCATCGACCGCTGAGTCGCCATCGGCGGGGGCGGTGATCTGCGGCGAGGCAGCTTCCCGACTCCCTTCCTCCTCCTTCCTCGCCTTGTATCTGGGTTTCGATGGGACAGGGGTGCAAGGGACGGTAGCGTCGGAGAGGGTGGAGAGCTCGCTGAACTTCCTCTTGAGCGGTGGCTCGTCAGGGAGCTGGGCCGCCGCACGGGTGAAGGGAGGGGGGCAGTTCTCCTCGACCGCCATGGCTTCCTCCGTTCGTCTTTGCTCTGCTCTGTGACTCTGTTAGTGCTTGTCTCGGTCCAAAGGAGAGAAGGGAATGACGGAGAAGGGAGGGAGGGATAGGCGGGGTTAGTTCATGGAGCAGGAAGAGTGGGAGAGGGCGAAAGGCCGCCATTTCTACGAGGAGTCGACTGCCAAAAGAGAGAGGGAGCGAAGGGGGTTTTGATGATGTGCTTCCCATTTGCAGGCTGGCCAAGTGAGGAAGGGAGAGGAAGAAGGCGGAAGAGATCGGCGATCGCAGGGAATTGGCGTCGTTTTCGAAGGTTAGGAATGGATTCGCTCACCGCGCGCGCGGAATAACTTCCCATATTTACCCTAATATTAAATATAAATTATTTTTTTTCCCATATTTTTATATATTTTTAACCTAAATCCCTTTTTTTTTGTTACCCTAAGTTTAGCAATTCAAAAGATATCATTTTCACCATCTCCAATACATAATTTATTATACAAATTATCACAAGCCTTATATCTTTTCATAATGATTATTATTTTTCCCTCATTGTTAGATTATCTATATATATATTTAATATTTTTTATTCATAGTCATGAAACTCTATAGAAAGTCATAAGTTTGGACTAATTAAGAGTATTTAATTATTTAATTATTATTTTTAAGATCATTTTAGGCCTTCTTTTACACCTTCTCATTTTACTAATATTATCTAATATAACTTAAATCCTTGTTCTTTCTTTATTATTATTATTATTATTATTATTTTCACCCTCCTTAGTAGCAAATATTTTATAAGATTATATAAATCATATACCTTGCCATAATGATAATTGTTTTTGCCTTTATTTTAGATTCTGAAATAATACTGTAAAATAGTATGAAAATTATCATAAGTCTTATATATATATATATATATATATATATATATATATATATATATATATATATATTTGTATACATTTGTTAATCGTTAAAGCATGAACATTTTGTAATAATTATCTTTGGAAGATCCGCACGCCACCACCAAACTCTCTTTTAGTGCTATAACTCTGTCTTTATATTCTCCAAAAATATATTTTGTTACACTTATAATTTTATTGATCATTGCAGTCTAAATAATTTAAATATTATTCTTATTCAATTTTGAGACTTTTCTTCATTCTATATTTAGAAATTCTTACATTATTGTCCTTAAAATTCCACCATTCCTCTTTCATTTTTCATAATAAATATCATTTCACCATTCACCTCTTCTAAAATGTTGATTTGTTAAGCTTTTATTAGGTACATAACTATCTACCATTCTAGTGAAAAATGTTAATCAAACTATATTTGTTACTTTTGTAAAATGCTTCGTTCCTACTCCCTTTGCTTAGTTTAGAATAATCGTAACGATTATATTTTCTTACCAAAACGTTAACTATCAACATACAAGCCATGACATGATTAAAGAATCCAATCTTGATGGAATGATTGACTCATTAGTTCAGCGATGACTCTACACCTTGACGTATCTTTTAATCTAATCCATGGATGATCTTGTTTTACTCGAACATCTCGGTATATTCTACTATTAGGTTGACTCTATAATTATCGTGACTTGATCTAATGAGATAATTGACTCATAATTTCGTTCAGCTTAAATTACTGAATCAAAATATTTAAGTCCAAATTAGTAATAATATATATATATATATATATATATATATTATCATTATAAATTAATCTTAACTTTTATATACTTTCGATTTTGAATATGAAACTGGATGAAGATATTATGCACTTAGGGATGGCTCCACTTTAAAAAGAGAAGTCGGCTTACCTTGGCTACGTTATTAGATCCCTAATGATTCGATTTTGGTTGTTGTAAACATTGAGATACTTTCATAGTCATCACTCACTCGTATCAATTCAAAACAAAATAGTAAGTAAGAACCGTCATCTATTTTACACCCAGTGTGGATACGAATACTAATATGATGGATCGCTCTCGGATGATCTCCTAATTTACCCTTTGTGTCTCGTGTCACTCCTACATCGTCACCTGTCACTATATATATATATATATATATATATATATATATATATATATATTAGTT